TATTCATCTATGAAACACTTTTTGTGCGAAGACTGTAGTTGTATTTAAGATTCGGGCCTGAACTCAGTCGTTGACAGTTTGATTGCTTAACTCATTAAGTTCTCTTTTCACAATGCAATGAATGAAGTTTACTTCTTTCAAGTGTAAACTCGGACACGGGTAGGGATAAAATAATTACCAACTCTGTGGAGACAAGTTTTACTAAATGGATCGATGACACTTTACTTGACTATTTAATAACTGATTAATTCGATTCTTCTGTTGAATAACATCATGTACTAAGTTGGACGTACAGATATTATATGTAACACATCAATCATTTTATCTAGCCAACTGTATTCATAGTGTGCACTCGTAAATCTTTAGTCTCACACAATGAAGATTACGATCAATTAATATGCATTCAGTCCTTTTATTTTTGACATAATTGAAGATTACATTTTGGAGACGACTTAATAAAATAGGAAGAACTGAAAATTCGTATATTTCCCGCTGCATTAACTTTTTCCTACACCTACAAGTAGCATATAAATGAGAGAATGTTGAGACTAACCACAGGAATTTGTTTTTGGAACTATTAGATTGCAAGTTCTAACCCAGCTCCACATACTGTAGTTTGGGTAGTCGAGTTGTACTAATATTATTTATGATTAACTCATTTGCCAGGTGTACATATTCGTGTACTCGGTTTTGAGTCACATTTAAAGAGTGAAGGATACTGATATTAACTGGATACTGAAACCAGAGGAGAGTAGGTGGAGCCGAGTTCGAACCTCCGACCTAGTTGGTGAAAATTGAATCCTTTAATTTCTCAGCGTCACTGCTCTACACAAAACAAAAGCATATATCAGAGACTGCTGTATACACCTAGACTTAGTAAATGAGTTACAGTATATTATTTATTTACTGTTACAGGATATATTTGTATAGAAATATATGTGTATCTATAAATATGTACATTTGATATTACTTTGAAAAGAATATAGGGTTTTGTTCTTCATATAAATGAAATATTTCTACTATAATAATTAGAAAACAAGGTTTAACCAAGTACCTATATGCAGTAATTTTTCACTAGACTTAATTAAACAATTACAATTAAAATCATTTATCTGACATATTTAAAATTGTTATGGTTCACAAAGCAGCTAAGGTTCAAGTATATGAATTGCAAGGAAACAGTGGCTATATTAATAATAATACCGACATGAGATATCGTGTTTATGTAGTTATTGCACTTTTTGAAAAGTCTGTGCCAAAGTGTATGTATGTGGGGTGGAATATTAACACTATACTACAGTCGTTTAACCTTTAAATCACACAATAGATGCATTCTTTATTATTAACCATGCAATTAAGATTAAAATGTGAACTTAAAAATCGGCAATCATAGCGATGACGATGATAACAATAATAGTGCTAATGAAGATTGTATTTAAATTAATCCAATACAGAAGACTATTACTATTATTGTCAATAGGGTCATCTGAGAAAGTGTTGTTCAGTAATGTAACTTAGTTATTAAGTATAAGTTTATGTACCCGGCTATTTATTATAATATTTTATGCAAGAACTACTGATATTACCCTGGTGTTTAAATCAAAGTAGATAGAGAGGGATTCGAACCTGAGATTTACTGGTAGCCAGTTGTAGATTTTAGCTACTCAGGTGTTGCCCTAATATACACTTAACTATCCTTTTCACTTAATGAATGAAATATTTATCATATACAATAATGATTATAATTTTGAAGTTCATTTAGAAATGTTTAAACGCTCCTTTGTTAAAAAAATGGGATTTACTTACGAAGATGTTTGTGATTTTTTCATCAATAAAACAACAAAAACTCGTAAAACTTTAGGGGTAATTTTTTCATAAATGAGTAGGCCATCAATATACTTGGTATAAACAGAAGAAATCGTTGTCAGGGTTTATACAAACAAAAGTTATCTGTCCAATTTATCACATTTTCATGATGATTACCATTCACTCAGTTATGATATAAAATAGGTTTAGAGTAGGTAGTTTGTCAAGTACTTGAATTCTGAGATCATTAAACCGAAGCTTGCTCAAACTAACCAAGTTTTTTTCAGTATAAATCATGACTTCTATATTACAAAAACCAGTCCTTTAATCCAAGTTACATAGGATAAGTTTGAGTATTGTTTTTATTAGTATGAATGTTAAAATTACTACAGTTGTAAATTTCCAAAATCACATTTTAATCTCTTTCGTACGCTTTATAAATAGCTAACTTATATTATCACGAAAATCATAATACAACAATCCTCTGAGGCTATTCACCTTAATACACATATTTCTTCGAAAATGAATTGGTAACTTAACAGGAATGTTTATGAAGTCTTCGCATAGTTACATGAAATAGTAATGAAAATAATGATGCTAATATCAGTTAGTGACTAAGTAAATGTCATGGTGAAATAAGTATATAGTGATCGGTTTGTAGAGTTTGTGGGAACCGATAAGATATTAGTTACGTAGTAAGTGTGTACTACGATAGTGACCGATTATATATTTTTCTAAATCGAAAAGAGATAATTGGATGAGAAACCATAGATTACTCACAAGTTTAGAATTTCACTTGTAAACAGTTGACTGGATAATACGTAGCTTCTACTGTACCAAATTCAGTAGTTAGTTCACATCATAGATTAATTATAAACCAACAATTTATGAATATTTCAAACAATAATTATTTTAAAAGGCAAACAATTTATTAGTAGCTTAAAAATTTCAGTTTATTTAATACTTTCTAATTAGGTTGATTTCCAAATCTATTTTGTTGGTCAGTATGAAAAGTTCTGCTTTATTTATCCATCTCTGCTTAGTTCTGCTTTATGCTTGCAAAAACTGTTTTCGCCCCTCTGAGGATGATCATATCGACTGTGTATTCGATCATGGAGAATTGTTCACATTTAATGGAAATACTAAGTACGTAATGCACTGACGTGTGTGTTTTGACATTACAGAAATAACTACAATGTCAACCGCTATTTTGTGTTGTGAGTAAATAATCTTAGTTGACAGTTCAGTCGTTAGTCAGTCAAATAACTAAACTCATAAGTCTGACCACCTATCCAATATGTATAATTCTCCTACAATTACTATCTTTTATAAATCTACGTCTAAATTGTAAAAACCAATTTTAATCAATGACTTGTAACACATAAAATGTGTACATCGTTTTGTTTTCTAAATAATTTATATTATGGTTTCTAGGTTGTAAGCACTCGAATAGGACTCACGAAATAAGTCAATTGATATTACTCTGTTACGATTATTAGTCCTTCTTCATTCGATATGTATATAAGCTAATAAAAAACAGAAGTAGAACGGCCACCCTCCGTACAAAACATATGAGATTAAATTTATTGTATCCAATGAATAAATCCATATTTCTAAAAAAATCTTGATTTCTGACAAAGTTGAAAGAGTTAGTCATACAAAACGTGTAACACGACATAAATGTCCATCAGTTTAAGTTGTCACACCACATAGTGCAATGAGACGCTAGAGTAGTGTAATTAGTAACCGTATTACTGGTAGTAGAACACACTAGTCATAGAATGTATGATTCCAGAAAATATAGATTCGTGAGGTGAGACAATTGGGAAATTTAGGATCTAAGGGAAGACAAATAGTGAATGAATCTGTGCCATTGCGACCAATTCTGAGCCACGGTCACTCATAGCCTCTAATTTTTCATTATTATAGTCACCCGTATCCCAAACACGTAGTCTGCACCTACCTATACTCTTCAGTTCAACAATCAATGAATTCATAGACTGAAAGTGCGACGTTCAAATGATGCGATATTGATCCTCCCAAACAGAAATTGAAATTATAAAACAATCTCACTACGCATGGTTAATACATCGTTTTGTTTTTGGAGCACTTTAGACTTCTTTTTATGCAATCACTTTCGTAGACGATACAGGCAGTATGGGTCTAATCTAATAGATTGTATTTTGTGGGCTTTATTTTTACCATTGATAATTTTTATCACAAACTTACAAGAGCTAGGAAGTTGTTGACAAGTCAGAGACCAATCAAATAACTATCTCCTTCTAGTCGAGGACGATGTAAACAGAGTAAATTAACAGATTCAGAACATTCAGCGTTCAAAAAGAGTACGAAACTTTTACACTATTGACTTGAAATTCATTGGTTTATATTTTCAACTTTAATCAAATTTTGATGCAGTTCAATTCTCATCCAATGTCATTCGTGAATAATTGTTTCACTCTAGACTAAGTTAACTTCAATATTTATGGAATACCAGTAGAATTTCGAAGATAGCCATACTGAAGCTAGTTACAAATGAATATGCAATAATTATTAAGTAGAATGAGCTTTTGAAAACGCTTAAATTAATTGGGAGATAATTTTGATTGCAAACTTAATTATTTGTTACCCACAACGTAACTGATATTATCTTGTTTCAATTCTTTGGTACAGTGGGGCATTATGTAATGTACCGCAAACAATGAAATAATATTATGAAGTAAAAAAGAGAGAAACTATACAGTAAAAATAGAAATCATAAATATTAAACGATGTAGTCTAATTAAGACTATAACCTAAATGAGGAATGAAGTGAAAAACTAAGACATGGTTGTAACTATTGCTTGATGTAAGAATTGAAAGTCCTGAAATTCGATCCCATGTCATGTGGTGAGGAAGCACCATTGAGTCCCAAACTAGAAAGAAACAAGATTCTGGTGCTTCACACTCTCCACTGATTCTCTAACCAGTAACAAAAAGTGGCGAAAACTACATCTAAATCACTTTTGTTAACTTAATGCAACTTAATTCTCATAGTATTTAATATATACACAGGAAAACGGTGTTCTTAACTGATTACTACTTATACTCAATGCAGTAGTATATTGCAAAACTGCAAATACTATTGACTTTCAGTCTTAAATAGAAGTAAGCATGATACTACATTCTTAAAACACAACAAAGAAATTGCTTACTTTGAACATAGTTTGATAAATTTATCTAAAATCGTGGTGAGATTCGAAGAGGAAGAAAATGCGTACGTCGAAGTAAATCGCATTACATGCTCTTTCAAACTTAAAGAAGCCAAAACTGAGGCACGATCAAGTAGTTTAGGGGTTTCCTGAAAGAAAAGATTAAATAAAATAACAATAAAGAACAAATCCACCCGTTAAATTTCTAAAACGATATGTGGCTGCAGCTGACTGTTATTCGCAACCTGGTGGTTTTTATGGAGAAAGAAATGAAGATTTATTCAAGACGGAAGCGGCTGAACCAGACTCCGGCTCAAAAGTTCATGATTACCTCATGAAGCTGAGGTCAAATGAAGATAAAAAGTGTGCCAATTTCATCTCGCTAAAAACGTTAAATACGACCAATTCGCACAGAGCACTGAGTTTTTGAAAAATTGTATAATGAGCAGTCATCGAACTTCAATATTCGTTATAGTTATCTAAAGATACCCAACAAATTTGATAATATCTATCTTGTTTATTCGGACAGAGTGAATGTCACATACAAAAACGTAAACCTTGTTTCAATAATCCAAAGTTAGTCCAATTGCAATATACCTGTATGTAGAACGTAGCCACTTACTGATACTAATGAGTAAGAAACACATACAAATGCTTTGGAGACAAACGGAGCCTACATAAATCACATAGATTGTTACTGACAAGTCAAAATGTAAAACGTGGTTATTCATATTGTGAATGGAATGACGACATCGTATTTTTGTATGACGGGTGGAAAAACAAACATGTATAATATTAACCATACAAGTCAAGATCATACAAAAGAATCCTTAAATATTTATTTATAACCACATGCCCCGATACACCTATATAATGAAGGTATGAGTAGTATTGATACAGTTCAGATCAATAACGTCACATTATTTGTAACGTGGGTACATAAAGACCCAATATTATTTCATGAGGGAGGTTGAATCATATATGCAATGAACGAAGAAGAGAGTAGAAGTTGGAGGGTTAATTACAATTTTTAAATGGAGATGAAAAAACCCAGCTGGAAGCTGGAACACAACCAAGTAACCGGCTGAGATTCCAGCGAGCACGAAATAGAACTACTACCTTTCGAATAGACTTTGTACGGGAAACGTATTTCATTAAAAAAAGAAGGGAAGGTGATATAACAAGTTAAAAAAGCGAGATTGCATATTTTTTACTCATTGTGATTTTTGTCCAACATTACTTCCATCTTTTTTAATTTAATATTATGATTATTCAAAGTAATAGTTGTTTAGTGTTCCAGTATGATATTTTATTCGTTATAACATTGATTTATTTGAGTGTGATGTTTTTTCAAGATACAATATTCTTGTAATAAATTAACATGAACAATTCTCAACATGACACACAGCATGTGATTTGTTATAAATCTGGGTACTTTTCATATATGTGATTTCATCCTAATTAATAATCAAATGGGTTTACAATCAATACATAAACGAGTTTATTTTCAACTAGGGTCGTCGTGCTTTGAGTTAGATAAATATTTACTCGTAGTAGTCTTAATGTTGTTACTTCACATCGTACAAGTAATAAACTAATCCAACATAAATGGCGCAGGTGCATACACTATTTGTGTTCGCCCAAATTCTAACCATCTGAATTCTCCTTGTCTCTTTTTTCCTCTTTCCAAATTTATTTCACTGAATTATACTCTTTAAATAACATCTCCAAACCCTAATCTTCCCGATCACTGCTTACACTCTTGCTATCTCTACCACTACGGGATTTGGATCGACAACTGCATCTCTGTGTTAAGGTGGTGTGGCAACTCGAACTGATGTACGTACGTACGAAGTTCTACGTTGTGACTGACTGACTGAATCCAACATAACAACTGACAAATCATAACAATAACTCAATAAAATGATATCATCAGATGGAATATGGTTTGTTTAATCACGTATAGCTATAATTAAATACAGAGCATACCTTGAATATACTTGAGGACGAAAAAAATTACTACGAAGGCTGTTAAGTTTTAGAGAAAAGACCTAGTTGCCTGCACAAATGAGAATTAGTGTAATTTTCGTCAATCTTATTTGCCTACTTATTAGTAGTTGAAAAATAATGAAGTGATTTAAAAAGGCAATCAAAGGTAAATTATTACCCTAGAGAAGTATTAAGCTTCCCTAGACTCTGTAAGTTGTTAGGTTTAGGAAACACTGAACTTACATCAGGCTCAATTTGAATTCCGCCCTGAATAGATCGAGGACGTTTAATCAGTGGCTCATTTGGATCATCCGAATCTAAAAAATAAAAAAAATGAAGGATCCTAATATTATTCTCAATCTATTGTTTTGAGGTGAACGAACCTAAAAGCTGATTGTAATATCAATCTTATATGGATCTAATGTAAACAATAAAAAAGTGAGAAGCACTAAGGCAATTCGCTGTAGTTTGATTTAAAGCTTGACATTTTATAAGCCATAAAATTTTAGTTATATTTTTAGAAAAGAGGCAGTTCAACTGTTTAGGTGAAGTTTGTTAAACGAACCAATTCTTTCTAAAATATGTATGCAAATGGATAATTTTCGTAAATTAATCGTCTCTATAAAAATCTACAAAACATTTAACTGTATAATATTAGAAATTAAGTAAACTAGATCTAGAGATATTAGGAAAAAGATGAACTATTGTACATAGAATACATCATTTCACTTACATAAATATGCACTTAGTTACTACTTGGCAGACAAACAAAAAAGAGAAATAACTAGTTAGTAAACTTTTCATGTCTTAGTGGTTATCTTAAATGATGTAAAATTTTACTACAAATATACATACAATATGACTGATTAAGAAATTCTCTTGAAGCTTCTACAATGAATTGTTGTTCCGTTTCTACATGTACAATCTCTCCATTAGCAGGTTTCGAACAGGGTAATCCAAACTCTTGTTCAATTTTTGATTTTAAAAAATCCATCTTAATTGCTTCTCCGTGTACCAGCATCACATGTTTAGGCTGACAATGAGATATCAACTGCATAATACCACGAGCATCTGCATGAGCTGAGAATGATAAGTATTCAACTGACATTTTAACTTCTAAAACTTGTTTATCGAATTCAAGACGCTTGACTCCATTTAAAATCTGAAAACAATAAAATAAGACAGGTAACGCATTATAACAATAATTTTCTGTGAAGGATCAAAAAATGATGAATAAAATACCATAAACATAATTTTTTCAAGCTAAGATTATTCACATTTTTGGGCTATTATTCAACAAAAATATAAAATAATTTCCATTATAGATTACAATTTTAGTTTTTCTCTTGGAACACTGCTTGATCTTGCACTGTTAAACTTTGATGCAAAACAGTAACAGTTCAAATAAGTCATTAGTTCATTTTAAATTCTATCATTTATTGTGATATTAAACTGTCTACTAATGATGAAAAGTCTTTAGGCAAAAAGGAATTTCTTTTCTTTTCATAATCTTATCCTAAACTTGTTAACAATAGGAATTATTTTATGGCAATCTTAAACAAAGGTACTATCAAAACATATACACACAAACCTTATAACCCACAGTTCCAGCAACACAATATCCTGGAATTACAACCATATTTCTTTCATCTGAAGCCCATTTACGAAATATATGCAAGGATTGTCCAGCGTGAAGCATACCTGGTGTGGCAAAGACTACCATTGGTCCTGGATTATCGACTGTTCCTTGCCCAAGAGGCTATTTCAAGATATGAAAACATCACAATGAACCAGAACTTGAAATTGCTACAGTGATACTTATGTTTGAAAAGAAATTATAATTAGGATGAAAATGCTAATTTAAAAAATTAGTAAAAAACAGTTTAGCGGTCAGTTGGACTAATGTTACTTATACAAATTTCCTAAACTAAGAAACGAGAGATCTCAATAGCAAAATGAGATAGGGAGGGAAAAGTGAATTATCTACTGAAATGAACCAAGGGGATCAAGCCAACTGAAATTAACTGATTCATATAAAAAGTCTTATTATACTAACCATGGCATGTTGGTGTCTGATGGAAATTTATCTTCAAAGGAAATTTGAATTAAATAATAATTTATTAACAGAGTTCTCTCCCGACAGTCATAATCTGATGTGTCAAAAATCCCCAGCTATTTAGGTCCTGTCAATCAACAATAAGAAATGTTAAGCTCTAATCAAAATTGTTACTTGTTGAACAAGAGGCAGTTATTATTCAATGGAAAATACTGATATTTAAAGTAGGATCGGTAGGGAACTTAAGTACAGGTACATCCAAAAAATGAGTCTTGAGTAGGATGGAACATAGATTTAAAATTGCACGGTTGGTCACTACCAAATAATGCGGAAAGAAGCAAGTGCTATCAGAGATATCAGTGATTATTCTAATAGTCTCCATATTGTGGGAGTGCTGAACCGACAACTATTACGAAGTGAAATTGTCTTAAAACACCAACATACACAGCGACAGAAGTATACCAGACTAGCTATTTGAATTACTAATAGATTGGCATTTGTTGATATAATCTTAAAGGTTAAGTAACCCAGTAAAGTGAGATATCACATTTGGCTTTGAGAAATGTGGTGGCTGTGCTATACCTTTCCTTCCTGTCTTAAAACTTGCATTTGAAACAGACTAATTGCTCTAAAAGCTGACAAAAAAGAATCGATTTTATTGAGCTCACTTTAATACCACCTGATGAGAATCATATGCCAACGAGTGAACAAAAAGTAAAACAATATTCAACCTTTGCGGAAATATACAAAGTAAACGAGTCCATGTCATTGTTATGTCCACAAAAGTGTATTACAATTAATCATTAGTCCATCTAGAGCTTTAACCATAAAGATTATAACTCAATGCCCGACGGACACCAACAGCTATTACCCTCATCGGCTGGTACTTGATGTGGTTATCAATGACACTTCGAGACTTTCTATTTTAGCAAACAGTATATAGTTAAGGTAAAGTAGATAAGTTGGTAAATCTATCATACGCAACGTAGAAACTGGTACGTATGTAAGTAGATTCAGGTTATCACACCAAGATGAAATTATCACAGCGAATCTTAAAACAACATCAAGAGTGGATGAATAAATGTTTTAATCACCTTGGTGGTTTTATTTATTTAAACACATAAACATTGGTAAAAGGAGGCACCAAATAGATATGCGCTACATAAATCATTCGATTTGTGTGAGGGTTGGGATACTGCTCGGTTGCCCAAACTGAAGCAGGTGGTTTTCTTAGAGGGCCACAGCCCGAGCATCTAACCTAAAGGTCTGATCTACAAGGCAGTGGAACATCGTGGGGAGATGCGATACCATGGTAGCCGGTGACCAACAATAGGTTTATACGCTATTTGTTGCTTCAGGATACTGGAGCCCATGTGCACCATTGGTTTGGAATGGGGGTTTTCCAACTCCCCTAAGTGGACTCTCCGTGTCCACCGGCCTGGTTAAAGCGCCGGACATTCACTTTCCGTCCCCTCAATTTCGTAAACAAGATCTGTGGTGCAAGAAGGCAGTGAGTAGGACTTCCCTGGCAGAGGCTGTATACGCGTGGCCATGTGAGAGCATTTTGAGAGCGAGGGCGGACCCTACCCACTTTCGACCGTACTAGGGCATTTGGGGGTAATAATACATGCACAACTAACGTATCTTTCTTGCTCATACATTAACCTGACACATTGCTCAATGGGTTGTGCCATAATAGCTAAGCGGTGATTTTTAAGAACTCGTAAAATAAAAACAGAGCAGTGAGTCACGTACGATGACTAGTGATCTATTGGCGTTTTGTGAAAGTAACGGGGAAATTGGTTGGTTGGATTCGTCTGAAAGAGATTTCTAGTGGATGTGATGCAATTAAACCCGTAAATTCTTTTAAAACGAACTTAAGTGAGAAGCTATGTAAATTGTACCTACCTTTATATGTTTAAAGTCAAACATATTTCGTTTTACAAATGTCTCCTTGATTTTTTGATTTGTCCACGAGATAAATAACTTGTAATACTCATTAGCCTAAATAAATGGTAATTAGATGGCTTAATGTTCTTAAAAATACTTTTTCCGCCATTCCCATGGAGAAGTATATTGGGACGGAAATATTCATTCTTTCCCAATATGTTTCAAGCAATATACAAAGTTCTTGAGCTCGACCTAAGGCAAAGACAGGGATTAATACCTATCTATGTCGCAAATAATGAAGAAATTACTTTACCCCCAGCCTCAACGCGAGCATGAATCTTTTCCAAAAATTCCCGTTCTCTTGTACGTTTTGAATCTCGTATCGTAGTCGCGTAAGTGCTTTCCGTAATGAGAAGATCTGGACGGCAACGAGAAACCCAAGCTGCACCAAGATGTCTATCAGGTGTCATGTTGTAATCGCCCTAAAGTCCCAGTGATATCTTTAGAAAGCAACCTACGGTATACAGGACAGAATTTGTTCCTACACGTACAAGAAACATTGCTGCTCCCAAAACGTGACCAGCATAAAATGCCTGTATTTCGAGATCATCATCTACCTTTTAAAAGACTCAAAATTAAAAATTAATGCAGTTACTTTAACTGTTTGATGTATATACACACACCTAACTTTCGTCATACACCGATATATCATATCAGAAGTGAAAAAGTTTTGATCTCCTCTTCTCTCTACATTGATTTTACGATAATCTTCCTGCAAATATAAGGATACAATATAGAAAGTACCTACCAAAAGTATTGGGCAAATTGCCTTGGTAGGATGAGTCATATAGATTGGACCATCGTAGCCTATAACTTCGGTCATATAGGGAAGAGCTCCACAGTGATCGAGATGGAAATGACTGCCGATAAAAACACGAAAATGCAAACTAACTAAACATACCTGATAATCACACAATCCAGGTAATCATTGAGACCCCCTTTGTCGGTAATGTAAGTGAAGTCAGGAAATTTTCTCTTAAAGGAATCAATGACATGATTACGATGAAAACTTACATCGTCGTTATAGCCCATGTGCATTCCGCAATCGAACATAATATTTTTGCCACACAAAGTGACAAGAATGCAACTTCTACCAACATCTTGCCCAGCGCCTATTAAGCGAAATGAGTCATGTAAATGATCTCAAAACAAATTTACCCAAAGGAATGACCCGAATGGAACTCATGACTTTACCGAAATTTTTTGTTGGTCATTGACGTTTGGCCAAGGACTAAATGGGATAAATAAATGTTCTCAAACGTTTAAAAGTAGCAGTACTAGTACGAAACAGAACTTGGTGAAACGACTGACAGCAAGGTTCTTAAAGTGGAAAAACACTGAAAAACTAGAAACACTCGATTTAACGCAATATACATGTTATATAGGATGAGCCAGGACGAGTGTGAATATGGTGTTTAGGTTCATTTGGCTTAGTCCGAAATATTTCAACTTATTTCTCGCTTATTTTGTTTTATAAACCCAAAAAGGATGATTGTTAAGTGGTTTTTATTTTACTACTGATTCTCTAAATTAACACACTTTAAAGCGATAGGAGCAAGCTCAGTACAGTGATTTTCAATTGAAGATAGGTATAATTGAGCTATTAAACTATAATATTTTTCAACAAAAAGTGGATTCGGTAAATTCTGCTCACACATACATTAACTTTACTTCAGTCACTTCTTAATATGACTGCGTAAGTGACTACCAAAAAAACGCATTCTCCTGTCTGAACAATGTAAAAACATGAATAGTCCACGAATATCTGTAGTGAGATGGGCAAGCTAAAAGTGGTTACGAAAGAAAAACCTCTCCATCAGTATTCTTAGAAAGAGATCTAGGCTAGGAAGACAGATCACCAAATCTTACGTTAATCAGCCAAGTGAAACTGCCTTTAAAAAAGCATCATTCGGAGTTTTGTGAGATTGTCCATGATAATAAGCAGGGTACTTAGATTGAGGTGTCACTAGCTCAGGAGAATGTTTGACATATTACTTTTCCTCATTACAGCCTTTAAAAAGATGAGCTAGAGTCAATTACAATTAGATTTTGTCTGGATGTCGACTATGGGCACTCAGGACGAAGTAATTAGACTAATGGATAAAACCAGCAGTGGAAACCTAATTTCATTGAACTGATTAATTTATTGAGTGGAAAACGACATTTAACTGTAGTACCCAAGTACCGTAGCTAACTATCGGCCGTATTTCGTAGTGAATTTTTGAGAGCTTCAGAATTCAGACCTTCTTCAGGATAGACTACAAATCACGGGAAGACCAATGGAGTTAAAGACGGCAGTTCTTGGACTTTGGCGCGAAGAACCTTTACCCATATAAATGAATAGGATTTTAACATTTCCACTGTTGCCAGTTCGTGATGGAAACCCTGACTTCCAATCCTAATTTCTTGCACTGACCTATAGTCATTTTAGGCCCTATTAGGTAAGTGGGCTATTTTAAAGTCGCTTTATTGTCGTTCCATTGAGCTAAAACCTTTAACGGTTGTCTATAACTCAATCTCTCTATTTTGGGGTAACCGCAACAGAAAATTTTGGGGGAATGGCACAAAACCCCCAAAATTTCCCTAGATGCGAGGAAATTCCCCCAAAGTCAGGTCTTACTGTTTTTCTTAAACTTCACTCAATTTTACAAAGTTACAGTAGAATAACGTGTACTTTGGATTTTACATGTTAGTTGGGTTGAATTATAAATTGGCAAATAATCCTGAGCATATACATGTAGATGCCACAGTTTTAACGGGAGCGCAATCGTTTGAAAAGCCGCTCTCAATATAAAATATAGTCGATTACTTTGTAACAACCTTGCATGAACTGATTAATTTCTTCACGCTTACTCATTGCTTTTCCAGTACAGTCAAAGATCTTTAGCGATGTCCAGTGGTCGATAGTTCAGTCAATCGTCTGTTTTACGGTTATTTGTGGGTTTGTGTTAACTTATAACTTGAGTGAGTGGGTTGGTCTCAGAGCAGTAGGATAACTAGACAGATGGTTGATTAGTTGGACTGGGAGAATGATACACAAAAACGTTGAATATTGAGAGAAGACGATCGTTTGAAGAACTAAATAACTAAGGTGGTGGGGTAGTAATGCAGACAGTGTCAGAGGGCGAAAATTTAAATATTAAAGAGGAAACGGTGATAATAATCGAAATAAAAAGTACTTACCAATATGTCAGAATGATGACAGTGGGTAAGTTACAAGACATGCGTCAAGCATAGCCAACCAAGTGGCTACGATAATCCATGAGTGATTACGTGTTTACTGATTCTCCTCTTGAACCTATAAACTGATGGGACCATTGTCAAATCAACTGAGACAACATTCCTAATGTGCGTCATTCTTAATGAGAAAAAGTGGGACCTGCTCGGAGGTGATATGGACTTCAAGGTTCGGCCGTGAGCATGCTTTAAATAGCGTTATGAATAATTCTGTTGTGAATGTGTTAAGTTCTCATTACATAAGATGAAGATTTGCATTTGCCTGAACTGCACCGTCAATATATTTGGAGTTAATTTCCAAGCTTTTTGTGGTTGCCAACCCTATATTGAGCTCTGGTGAGACATGTGGGAGCTGATTTTCAAAGAGGACTTAAGTTGTTTACTTCCTGTGGTAATGAGTGTTCACGACATAATATTTCGATAGGCTACATTTAAATCAATCGTCTATTGCCGATTCATTTATTGTTGTAAAGTCTCTTTGAAGCTCAAATGAACACCTTTCGATTTTCATGGACTTTTGAAAATTATGTTTCATTTCTTATTGCAACAATCAAAAACCTAGCAAGCCACTCCAAAAGTAGCTTTTGTAATGGGTTTTGATTAGGGCACCTACCTATATACAACCTAGTGTGAGACATCACGAAACATAATTAGTCTAGTCTTAATTATATAGTTCTTTTTTGGATTTTCTCTCGAAATGCCAGTTTCAAATACAAAAACTAGGTAATAAACGGTCAAACTGAAGTGGTGTTGGTATTTGGTATTGTACAGGAGTGTACCGACAATTATGTGACGAATACGTCTAGCGTGGAATTCCGAATTTCGAAAAATTCGGACAGCAGAACAGTGAGTATGCCACGGATATTCGAAGTTTGACAACACTTTAACCAGTAACACGTACTATGAGTCGTGTACATAAAGTGAAATCAAAAGACAGAAGCGAGGAGGTTCGAACATATATTTGATAGGCTATCAGTATATGGAGGATCGACTGATCCAATCTGACTGGCGATTGCAGGGGATGTTCAGCACGGCGTTTCCACTCGTGATCTGGTGCTGATGCGTGACCGAGCGCCTTTAGCTAGGTAAGTCCATTAAAACTAAGGTGGTCGGCATCCGGTGTCGAAGACTTACGGGGCTCTTTGTTTTGGAGATTTATTTATGACTACAACAGTTAACTGACGAGCTTCAGGTGAAATATGACAAAATAAAACAATAAGCAATAGTTTTCGTTTAGCAGTATAAAAAGACGGTATATCCATGGTAAATATGTGCTACTAAATACACAAAAATAGGCAGAAGATAAACATAATATATCTGGACAAGGCTTTCTCTAGCAGGTACAATTGATAATCACGCACAAATACCCTTTTCTGAAAGAATATGAGTCAGGAACTTGGTTCAGTGTCCATAATGGAGTCACTCATTTGCACTTACCTTAACTGCAAATATATACAACCCGCTGCAAACTTCTGACGATTTATACACATAAACAAATGCCAGGATAACACATAAAACACATTAATACCATATGTAACGTCATATTTTGATCTCTATGTTGGCTCTTCATAACGTGAACTTGCAGCAGCTTATGTTGCCAACATCATGACTAATGAACTAAAATTGTACTTGGCTATCGTTGCTTTTTAGCAATAATTAGTGACATGCAAATGCCCCTCTGTAATATATCGGTCAAAATGTCTACCACTCGTCCGGACAGCCACAAGGCACATATACATATATAGTACTTGCTTGCTGTTAGTAAGAATCGACCATCTATCGATGATTTTGTTTTCTAAATGATGCGTTATTTATCTCCACAAACTATCTTATACAATTTTTTATGACTTGACCACCGCCTGTTTTAGTGCTGAGTTCCATGGCCAGAAAGGAGATATGAGTGCATTATTGCACGAACTAGGAATCCCTGCAATAGCACAATTTAAGTCAGACAGAACTATGTGAGTGCGAACGAACGCATTGTGTTTGGGATTCAGATTCAGGCATACATTAAATACAAAAAGAATCATTAGTTCTTACAAACATCACAGATATTCTGTTGAAGTGTATCCAACGGAATTTATGTTATCATTGTAAAGTAATTGTATCCATCTACAAATAGAAGAAGAGACAAAACATATAGCATAGGATAAAGCCAATAAATTTTTTTTGATAAGATCGCCATTTTGCAAGCGTTAATTTGTTTTATAGTCTACCAATTAAGATAGATAATATTTGAATTAGTTAAATCTACCAGGGACAAGGTAAATGTAAAACATCTGCAGGACGGGAATTTCATTGAGTGCTTTCGTGCATAAAAACGATTAAAAATTTACTGACCCGATAATTTCACTAATCGAATGGGATGTAATCATAGGTATCTGCAAATTTAAGGTTGTTTCATATGAGTGACGAGGATCGATGTAACGAACAGACTTTATTTCATGGACAGATTCCGACAAGTTATTACTTACCAGTGAGGTAATTCACATAAAGAGGATTAAAAAAATACCACCGCTTCACTAATGATGAAGAGTTACAGATGCTATGCCTAGGAGCTTCAGGATATTGAATTGGATCATTGGATGTAAAATATAGTTTACTAAGTATTTTGAAGAGAAATATTAAATTTAGTGTAAGTCTATGCTTCCATAAAGGACCAATTCCTTATTCACTACATTGTACAGTCAATCCGAAGAATGCTAACTGTAAAACACTGCTAAATGGATTGCAATTTGAATCTGTTCTTTATGCGAACACTATCAAGAATAGAAATATTGTATTGTAGGAGTGGTTAGAAATATACTTTGTACATTAAATGACGAGAATCTCTGTCATAGAGATTACAGAGTATGCGACCCAGTGGTTGTTAAGTCTTGGAAGTATATTAGGAGACCCATTCTGCGGAATAATTTTAAGAATACTTGGGTCCTAATTTCACCACTATATGAATCCTAGATGATAACTTACCATTTATGATGAGGTCTCGGTTGATAAAAGGATTATCAAAGCAAAATTCAAGAATGTTACAATTTTTATTTCAAGAAGTTTTATGTACTTAATATTTTCTCCGTAGAACATTATCGAAGAATGTTAATATTGGTTACATCTAAATTGTCAATTTATGTTATGCATTAACAATTCAGATGGGTGTAAAACTAAACTAATTCATTTAACCATGGACACAATAAATGATGAAAAATACATATTTTATGTATCATATTAAATGGTTTACAGCAAAAAATAAGAGAAAAAATTGGTATTTTTTACTTGAATCTTCTCATTGATATTAAGAACTGCAATTGATCACTCTCTTATTGGCATATGTGCATACTGCGCGTATTGCTTCGATATTGCCTTAATTAACAAGCATTATAAGAAAAGATGGATAGTGGATATCAGCACTCAGTAGCTCAGTGGACAATGCGATGGGGTTTGAGGCAAACGGTACTAGGTTCGAGTCCCAGAGTCAACATCAACTTTGAGATGCACGTACATCCATCTGACGAGTTCTAAATAGATCGAGACGCGCGTCCTGGATTCCACTGCTAGCCACTATCTATCTTTGGTTAAGAAACGAAACAGTTTAGAACAATGATCGAAATACTAAATATATTTTAACATGGTTTACAATAAGTTAAATAATAAAAAAAGACCTACTTTAGTATGTTAGCAAGAGAATTTCAAAAACAGCAAACTAATCAATCAATCATCAGATTTAAAGCTATTCAACCTGAATATCAGTTAACAGTTCATTCATGTTTTCTGACAAATGAAATTAATTTATTTAATTGCAATTAGTGAATATATAAGAAAACAAATATTTATTTGAACAATAATCGACGATTTATAAGAATGATTTACACATTAAGAAGACTATATTTTCCTAAGATTAAAATGAAAGTATAAAAGTCGATGAATGTAGGCAGTAGAATAATCAAATTTCCAAATAACATGAACTATATAAATCAACCAATAAGATTTTCTAATAGTTATATGAACTTTTGTATTATCATCTTTACAACTGCTCATTGATCCGTTTACTTTATGAAATTATGTTCTGTTCATTCAGAAACAGTATCAAGGTTCACACATAATGGGTAAAGTATATATTATTTTAACTTCTTACAAAACTATTAATGGTGATATAAAAAGTGTAAATCAATGAATTCGTGATCTGAACAGATCTTCAAACAAAATATATAGAAATGATTTGTCTTGAATTTTCATTGGTCAACTAAAACGTGCTGTTGCAGTGAACAAGAACACAGGATTTGTTAATAAAATCTAGCAATCATAAAGTAAATGTTTAATTTGCAAAATGTCCATCAATTGTCTCAAAGTGACTCAGGCTTCATTGTTCTAGCATTTTTATACAAATTGCATTCTGTTTCCATTCTTTACTGTTCGATCCACTTGTCTTCCTGCTTCCAGAGCTTCTGTTCACGACTAACATCATACACTACTTATGTCAATATAAATAGCACACACCACAGTATAATGAATGATGAACTATTGTATTGAATTGAACATTTTTTAATTAACTGATGATAGATTAT